GTTGTCGGCTTGTTTAAAATTCTCGTCCATTTTGAGAGCAAACACTCTCTTTAAATAGTATAAAGTCGCTGTTTTGGTCTGACTGCTTCACCGTTTACTTCTTCTAATGCACGCTTTTAATACGGTTTTCTCTATTGTTTCGAGAATTTCTTTCGGTAGATTTATGTGTATAATACACGTATATAGTTTTTTAGTCGAATGATTCACCCGCTGACCCTTCTGTATTAACGATGTACTACTTCACATCATAAGGGGATGACCGCTTATAATTATTGTAATATTTAGTTTGGAAACGATATAGACTATTTCTATTTCCATTAACGTACGAGGACAAAATCACACTACTGCTATTAATAAATCCTATTGATATAAAATTAATAATCCCTAAATATAACACTAGGACATTTAGAGGCATTATCAACTACCGACGTTGTAATGAACGGAACACTTGACATGCTTAATGTAAGAAATTGAACCTACCAACGGCATCGGTAATCCATTCATGAGCTTCATTTTAATTTTGAAGAGTTTGAACAGCATTTAGACAGTATTCTATATAATATAATAATATCTCTTGTATTGTTCATCTGAGTATGATTTGTCATTTTTTTCTTACCCAGTAACATGCAATAGTAGACAATCATGAAGATAACTTATCTTCTAAATTCCCCATTTCAACATATCGTTTACATGATCACTTATTTTATATTGTCAATATGTCAGTAAAAAATTATGTTTTTGGAATACCATAGAATAAAACTACCAACTAACTATAATTCGAATACAATCGTATGAGATTACAACAATTAATAAAACCTTTGGATTACAATAAAAAAAATCAAAATTTATTTGATTTTCACAAAGAAAAAGGCGAACCAAGAACTCTCCTTTTGGTTGTAATTTACAATTCTATTAGAATAAATCTTCAGATATTTGGAATCAGATGAGTTCGTGAATATAAATTACAGCAATGCAATTTTGAAATATTCTCCAACTGTATGTAAAAGCTGAACCTTTATCTGAGACTTGCATTAGAATTAACTAGATAAGTAATATAAAGAGATAATCCTAAATAATTAAATTAGATATATTAATTGAAATACTAATAATAGAAATAATTTTTTATTCAAATAAACTTAGTATAAGCATTATTGTATTTTTTTTAAATCTATTGACATACTACGTTCACAAATTTCCCAAGCTTAACAGACAAGAAAAATAGCTGGTATTCCTTTCGAACAAATGTTAGATCTTACATATATAAGATTTTATCTGAATACAAAATATCTATTAACTTTGCCGTATGATTCGCTTTGTTTTAAGAGCTTTACATATAAAATGGGTCTAGTTGTCCACAATCCAGGAAGCGAAAGGTCTTTGGCTCCCATCGGAATGCGCGTGGCGTGGGTGTCGCTCCCATGCGCGCACGGCTTTCTATTGATTTAATGAACACTATCTTATCTTGCCCAATAACCTTATTACTGGGAGTACTCAGTCTACGCGGTTCGGTTTAATTTACTCAATTGGTAACTAAAAGAAATTGTCCTAATGGAAATGCATCGAAGCATTAACAATCGAAATATCAGATACGCAACTATATACTTCATAGAGAAGTAAATAATATATTTCATATTATTATGTTGTATACAATGTAACATACATTATCACATTATATTAGGTGAAATAAATTATTTACTTTATATTACTGAGATCGTTTGCATTAAGGTGTTATTCGCATCAATCAAAACACATCGTTCAAAGCAAGCTGCTGGCGGCTGAAATATACGTAGATAATGTTCTGTCAAAAACGAGTAACACACTCTCCTCATTAGTTATCATATATTGTTATTTTAAACTTTCGTGTTTATTTATACGTCGAAGTGGGGGCGAGAGGTATATCAGCGAAATCTCTCTTCTAAAAGATCGTGGTGGATTAGCTGGCTCTTACTAGATTTGGCTGAGTGGAATAGAAATACGAGCGATGAAGGTGAATGTTGACGTACGTTCGCTAAAGGGACTCATAAACCTATACCAGGATTACAAATCCAGAGAACGGCTCAAAGTTTTCCTCTCATCCAAACTCAGCACCTGCACCGGTGAATCCACGGTATGCTAAAAAGTTCGCCTCTCTAGAAAACCAAGGCTCTTTATAAAAATATTTATACCTATAAATAGCCAATTAGGTTTAGGTTTATGCAGATAGAAGCAAGGTAGAACATAAATTTACTGTACTAGCCAAGATACGGGTACGTGTCTCAAGATTGTAATATCTATTAAAAACTAGATATTAAATATTTGATGAGAAGTGATAATAATAATGAAATTAATAAAATAACAAAAAAGTTAAGACCCAATTAACTATATTTGTTATTGCTATATTGGTTGATTTGTTCCTATGACAATTTTTGTAAATGGCCAACTGAATCTGCTGAACTTATAATCCCAAGGCATATAAATGAACAGTTCGACAGTCAGTCAGAAATCATGAATTTTTATAGTTTCTGTTATTGCTGCTTTGCTAAGGAAGTCGAGATTTATTGTACAGTTGTTATATGTAATAATTAAGCCATTATAATCACATTACACTAATTAGTTTAATTACAGCACATCGGTGAAATCTATATACTTGCCATTTATTTAGCTTCCGACCTAGACTTCGTTGTATTATTTTTAACTATCATCAAAACAGAAGAAGATAAGACTCTGGTTATAATTATAATAGAAATTACTCATGACAATTCACTCAGCGCCATCTAGTTATAAGTAAAGCCTAGCTTGTGTTATGGGCACTAAACAATATATAGAAATACTTATTTTTTTTATAAATACATATACAACATGCGTAAACACGCAGACTAAGACAAACAATCATATTCTTGAATACAAACGTTTGTACTGAATAAGAAATCAAAGTTGTGGCCATCAGAAGTAAGGCGGTATTGAAATGTTATACAAAATCTCTTTCACTCTCTATATAAAATATAAATATGAATAAAGTTCTAATGCTTTTTTCTTTTCTGATTATGATTTGTAATATTTTTAGTTACTATACAATAATCAGTTAGATTTAATAACCACTAATATATTTGCACTGGAATGACTAATAGCCTAACGATAACAACGGGATATACCCTGGGTCCGGGATAAACAAGATTTATTACATAAATTTATTACAACTGGTAATGATTAAATCTCAATAGAGTCGACTGTTACAGTATTGTACGTCGTAATTATTCCTACGTGTATTTTAAATAAGTAACGTTACTTGCCTGCTCTTTTCACATTATCAAGTGTTAAACAATTCATTTATTTATAAATTAAGAGCGATGCTCTTGTCGCTGAAACTCTTGCCACTTTCCAAGACCTTTCATCATACTCTTTAAAGACTATAACGACTCCAAGTCTGTCTTTCATTTGCTTGATGTAGCTGTGCCTAGATCTTCCTCTCCTCCTTTTTCCTTCTATCTTTCTCTCAATAATATCTTTCATAAATTCATCGTGCACTATCAAGTATCCTAACATTTGTCCTCGTCTATTTTCGGTAGTATTCAACCCATTCTAAATAAAACAATACTAAATTTAAAAAAATATTTTATACTTTTTTCCTTTAATGCTATACCTATTGGTAAAAGAAAGTTAGAGCAGAACACACACACACACACACATAGTCTTGAATACAGCACAGAAAGATGATCCTTAAGGGAGTCAGGCGCTGTTGTCGATAATTGGTGAAGCTCATTGGTACTCAATTTTCATTGGATTTAATGTTTCCATAAATTCGCTGAGACACATCGTTTGATTGTCGATAAAACAGCCGCAACGACTGAACCATATTAAAGCGTTGCTGATATAATTTGCACCTTTTTATGAGTGTCAAGTTTATATCGTGAACTCATGAGAACGAGAACATCTTAACATACATTTCGTGCATCATATTATAATCAATCAAGATAAGATCGTTAAAGCATAGAGTGGGAATATTGACTCAAATAAGTTATATTTTATTTTTTTTAATCGGTTTAACAATTTTAATATCTGTATTTAGAAAATACAAATATTGTTGAACTACGAAGGGAATGTTATATTGAAATGAGGATTAGTAATCCAATTGCTAAAAATTACCCCAATCCAGCTACGTGCTTTAAAACAAGTAGCCAATTAGCTGTACCTCCACGCGGTCCCCTTCGAATGACATTACGGGTATTGTGAAAATTGGTTATATCCATCCTATCTTCTTATCTGTATGATACTGGAATTTCGCCAGTTTAGGTATACAATTACCGCACCCAAAAGTCTTAATATTAAATACTGTTTATTTATTATAAAGAAATTTTATTATCGCAAATCTTAGATGCGACTAAATAAAATATAACAAACGATAATAGAGTCAATAATATTAGTTATTAATTCAGAATAAACATCATTTATCGTTGATTATAGAATAAAATGTAATATATTAAAATACTTATTATTATGTACATATGTATAATATAAACCACTTATATTTATTGACTTGATAGTAAAAGAAACAATTCAGTTACAGTACGCATTGCATTTTCTAAGTCACGAGATAAAAATATTTGATCTTGACAAAAATATCAATGATAACGAAGATTATCAAAAGATATAGATGTAGTTGCTAAACTCCCGTATTAGTCTTTAGTTGGTAGTTATATTTAGCAAAATGGACATCGCTTATGTATCAGTCTTATTATTAGGTGAGCTTATTTTCAATAATTTAATTTTGTTAATGTCCTTTCGATAAAGTGTTGTAAATATAAATAAATATAATTTATTTTATTTACTTTAATTACATAACTTCGTTACACCAAATATAATGGAATAATGAATTAAATTTCCTACGAATATAAAAATACGATATATGTCTGTCTTTTTGGTGTCTGTCTTGTTGCCATGATATATTTAAAAAGTATAATAAACTTTTATAATATTTGATTTAAATATAGATTGTTTCACTAGGTTTATTCTAATTACACAATCTATAGTCTATTTTTATTTAAAATATCTTAAAGGCGTGAAATATGTATGTTTCTGTAAACGAAGGTGCGAATCACCACCAGATGTCATTCAAAAGTCTTCTACAAAATCTTTATAATTCATACAATATTTGTACATTTATGTCTTGGAGATATTCACCATTTTAATATTGATAAAGAGCTCTCGACTTGGCCTCGGGATAGAATTTCATGAGATAAAGTATAATCTATGAAACCCCATTATATCCCTAGAATTGTAAAAGAAGTCATTGAAATTTACAAATATCAAAATTTCAATTGTGACCGTTCAAGTTGTTCAGTACAGAAGAAGCACATAGATTGAAAAAGTCGAAGTGACAGCGAGTGTGTTTTGTAGTGACTCTAAAGTTTTTTCCCGTAGTGATAGTGTACGTAATAAAAGCGGGTAGACAGATTTATCTGCTTGTAATGATTGTTTACATCCACCACCACCAGGATGTTTGTAACTGCGTGGAAATATAGGAAACTCATCAATCGCGAAGAAAGTTTAAAACAAGGTCTATATATTTTTTCTCAAATACAGCATTGTCAAAAGTGATAACATCATTGCCAACCGAACTGAACAGCGAATTATCAGCAGTGAGAATAGTAAATGGATATGAAGTGAATATCACAGAAGTACCATACCAGGCATCATTAAGACGTATATTAAGTGGAAGCTGGGCTCACATCTGTGGAGCAGTTGTTATCAGTAATAATGCTGTGTTGACGGCTGCTCATTGTGGTGCCACGTAAGTACTTTTTATATCATCTACTACTCTTATATAGTATAGAAAGGAATTTATAGTAATGGAAACTAATGATACCATTGCTGATAATGTACCACGACTGTCGACTTGTATGTTGTTCCGTCTGAAAACTATCGTGAATTCGCTACGATCAGCTAATAGATCTAACTTCATGTTTATACTATCATCCTCCTCCTCCACTGGTACCGTGCCGTCAGTCAGTACCGTCAGTTACCATTCCATGTTAATCCATTTAGAAAACACTAATATATATATATATTCGTTGAGAACTTGGTGGCTTAATTGTTTACAGCCCTGTCTTAGACTAAGAAGTCTTGTGTTCTAATATGGGCGATATCATAAAACATTTGTGTATCAAATGACAATTTATATTTCCAATTGATTAATTGATTGACAACATTGATAACACATTAATCTAAAATAAATATACATTTAATGAGAACTAATTTTTTCACATATAAAAATTGCACATTTACCTTAGTATGCCCTTTGTAAAGTTACGTAGCATTTTTTCATTTTCTGTTATCGCGTATATGTCTTTATTAAATAGACACTTAAGCACGTATGGTAGATAAATGATCTCATTTAATATCATTATATATAAAGACATTAGTAATTTTGGATACAGCTTCCTTTTATTGTTTTAGTATTGACTAAGGAATAAATTCTTGACATTTCCGCTGCAACTAGGAAATAACAATTACTGCAAGCAAAATTGCATATTATTAAGATGAAGAAAGAAATTAATTTTCAAATACTTGTAATTATTTATCATTGGTACATTAGCAGTGTTTCATATTACAGTAGGACATTCAAAATATTTCAGTAGTATCTGTAAACCAGTTACAGATGGACACAATATTATCTGTGTTACGAAAAGACTGTATTTTGGGCTGGTTAAAAATGAGACACGTTCCTAGGTGAGGTAAAATAAGTGTAATCAGCTCACTATCAAAATTGTAAAGACAATTAATATGGCATAAGAAAACACGGTATATAAAAACGGAATGTCAAAATATACAATTCAAAAATATATAAATAACATAAAAACTATCAAAAAGGTTGCCATCGACAACATCCTCCCCATCAGCTAAATTGGGGAGGATGTTGCCCCATTGATTGATGACGATTGCTGATTACACTTATTTTATGTTGAAACATTTTCTCTAATACGTTTCATTTTATATTCCAGTTATGAATACAACACGGCAACACTTGGAGTGGTTCTTGGTACTTCTTATCGACAATCAGGTGGACAATCTTATAATGTGTCAAAAATAATAGTGCACGAAGAATATTCTTCTATCACTCTAGAGAATGATATTACTATAGTAATTTTAGCTTCAAGAATTATCTTCAGTGACAGTGTCAAAATTGTGGCAATGGCACCTTCAAACTTTACATCGCCAGTGGATACAGAAGCTATTGTGTCCGGATATGGAACAACCTCGGTAAGCTTAGATATTGCAGCTATATAAAAGTACACTTAATATAATATGTAAAATGTGCGAAAAATAAGGGAAAACTAAGGGCCGTTAGAAATAAGACGATTTGTTGTCCGTGGTGCAGTTTAATTTCATAGAAAATTAGATACAAAAAGAGACTATGTGAAGAAAAATGATTAACTATTTTACATTCTCATCATTCATTATCCTTCCTACTGGGTACTGATCAGAAAACAAACATAATTTTAAAAATCTTATCATCATACCATTACTTCAATATTATAATGTGCACTACATACCACATCCAAAAGTCCTTTACATTCTGAGCATACAAGCAAATGTGACTAGAACAGTAGAAGAAAAACTTAAATAGAAACCCATCCTTTAACATAGATAAAATTTATTATGAAAACCCGGTAGCTTCGGGAGAACGAGTTGAGAGAGAGATGTTGAGAACAGTTGCATGCTTCTTTGATCATCACATTAGGTAAACTAATATCCATCTCTTATAAAGAGGCATCCTTTTCTGACACTTATGTTTGTATAGATGAATTGTAATTTTATTTTAAATCTTTATTACAGTTCGAAGGCACCGCGTCTTCAGTGCTACTCGCTGCAAAAGTAAAAATCGTCAACCAAGATACCTGTGCCAGAGCGTATTTACGCATAGCCACAATTACAACGGGAATGATTTGTGCAAGTGCCCAGGACCCTCCGAGAGATGCCTGCCAAGGAGATTCAGGTGGTCCACTAGTCGCAAATGGTACATTGATTGGTATTGTGTCTTGGGGTGAAGGTTGCGCTAACGTTTCTTATCCTGGAGTATACACTCGTATATCTGCCTATGATAGTTGGATAAAAACGAAATTAGGATACTAAAAGGTAATATGAAAATGACTATCTTGTGATGTAGCATTAATATCATTAAATGATAAAGATCAATTAAGATTCAGATCTTTAAAAGACCGATATCGTTTATTGATTTTAATGACTAGTCAATTACTTTATGAAGATCCTTTATTAAGAGCTAAAAATGTTCAATTCCATTAGGTATAAATTTATTAATGTAATTTTTATTATTGTTAATAATATTTGTGAATATAATTCTTATGACTACTTTCTCATGTCTTTTAATAATAATTTGATTCAAATTAATTACATTGATCGATATTTGAACTTGAGCGAACTAAAACGGTCGGGTTGAGCAACCTAATTTGAATACAAACAATTTTCAACATTGATGTCATTCGTGGATACCTGTACTAAATAAGGTCGTTGACCCTGGTAGTCGGCTCACTGATAAAGACATGATATTTAACACATATGCTGTCCAAATAAACACGTTAATAACGTTCAGAGATTTTAATATCATGAATACTAATAAGTGTCTGTTATGATTTATCTAAAAAAATAATGTCTCTCTTATTGTCACTTGAATGCATAATTAATGAACTTACATTATGTTTTATAGATACAGGTGCATTAGAAGCTAATTACGAATGCATTGATGAATTTGTTCTGATTGAAGCTGTCGATTAAATACGATTGATTAGATAATTAATTTCTGTATTTAAAGTTTAGTAGGGTACTATTTTAGGGTACTGAACCATTATGGTGTAACTTTAAGCGTCTATAAATCTGTCTTTCATAACAGTATATTCTAGACACGTCTAAATATTTTTTTTAACATTATAAGATTATTAAATAATATTTTCTCCACGAAATAAAATACCTTATAATAGTATCGTTCTCTAGGTTTAGAGGTAAGAGAGGTCCTCGGAAATGGCAACGCATGAGAGGTCACTATGCAAGTAGATAACGAAATACATGTATACTTCTTAACGCCCTTGATGCTGTTCCTGTATAGAATGACGGTTATCACTTCCATCGAGTGGGCACTTAACTAGTTTGCTATTTCAAATTAATAAAAATATAAATTATGAATTTAATGTCTCCAACGTTAGTTTTCTGTACAACATACAAACATTTCTTACGTCCATAAAATGCTAATGACATATAACTTATTATGCATATCTCAGCAATGTACACCGCTATCAGATGATTTGAGACCGGCCACATTATGTTAGAACAAGTATTAACATATTTATAAATTTGTATCGCTTGACACCAATATGATTAACGACCATTATTATAATTAATTCTTATGTGACAGTAATTCAATTTATTCAATAATATAATCATTATTGAATATTAACAAATTTATGTAGGTATTCGACATTTTTACGACGATATAAAACGAAATCAAGGTACATATAATACGGCAATAAAAATTGTTTTGCCGTAAGTTTTCTCTAGAGACTACAGCATGGGGTTTTTATAGAGTATATAGTAAGGTTTCTTAAAGGTTGGCAACGCGCACGTGTCACTCCTGGTGTTTCAGGCTTCCACAGGCCGTTACACACGTTATAGTAACCGTAAACCGACTGGAAGCTAGTTTGCCACCATCGTTGTATATAATAAAATATAGACAAATATTTTTTAAATATAAAGATATTATTCTATCCTTACATATTACTAGTTATCTTAACTTCGTCTGCTCTACTAATTTTTTTTTCCTTCGCATACTATAACAAAAAGCAAGAGGGAAGAAAAGAAGGAACTGTTATAATAAAAAAATAACTATGTAAAAATAGTTGAATATTTAATTGACAATTATTATAGAGGAATACAGTATCGTTCAAGTCTTCACATATTTTTCAGGCATATTTAATATTAATATTCGCTCTCCGGACACCGATGACCAGTTTCAGTAACAATTCCGTTGATAAACGATTGTTCGGTGTTAATTTTGTGATAGTGTCAATATTTGTTAATGACAAAGTGGTCAGTAGTTCAGTTTCCGTTTACACCTATTTTTCGGAAGGTAGGTATTTATTGGCAAAAATATTTATTTGTTTAGGGTTGTTGAATTATTTTCTTTGAATGTAATGGTGGTGTTGACCAAGCGTACATTTAAAATAATGTATTTTTTTGCGAGTAATTACAAAATGAGGAGATTTCGCTGTATACACGTAAAATACTATTTGCAGCCAACAGTATCAAAATAGTACAAATTAATCACTTGTTTGGTTTGTTTGGGTTGTCACGCCCGTACTTTCATTTATTCATTTGCATTCCATAGTGTTACAATAATGGTTGACATAATATTATTATAAGAGCACCATGGACCCTGATGGGCGCAGCAAGCTACAGTGGCGTTAACAGAATTTAATTATTTTATATATTATTTTTCTAATCGATCTGTATACATTATTATTATAGACTGACTTTGCTAGATTATCGTTATTGATAAATTATGTATTTAATAATAATAACACTTAATATTTTAATTAGTACTACAATTAGTGTGTATAATTAAGATAATAATAGATAGCAAAGAAACATATATACACATGAATATAAAATTGTACACCGGATTGAATCGAATTGAAACATTACACCTATCTGTTTACCCTCTAACATTACGCAGAATTTAATAATCAATTTTGTACCAGATAAATAAACCCTATGCCCTTTAGCAATTACTCTAATGCTTCACTAATACGATCATATCCGCGCCAAATCTCATTACAGCTAAAAAAAAGCACAGGGAATTTAGTACGCATAATCAGTAGCAAATATCCTAAGGCTGTCCGGTGCCTACATTCAACCCTCTCTATGTTATAAATAAACTATAGAAAATTTTAATACATATCTATTGCTTTCTGAAGAGTTTAAAATGAAATTTATAACAATTTTATTATTAGATTTCTTTTTATTTATATATATATATATATATATATATATGTATATATTATATGTATAATTAGAATGAATAGATAAATAGGAATTATAAGATAGAATCGTTTAGTCATTTGCTTTTTACATACAATTTGATTGAGGTTTTTTTATAGGTGATTATGGAATGATGCACCCGCCTACGCTAACGGTTTACGCTGACGGAGATCAGATCAGTTGGTCTGTTAAATTTGTTAGGAATTTATCTCGATTTCAGGGGAAACCGCGTAGAGGTCAAGTTGACTTGGTACATTGCTAGCTATGAAGTAATTAGTTATCATTACTAACAATCTTTTTTCTCTCAATATGGCTGAGATAGGGTTGGTAGAAAGGCGTCTGAGTAGGTATTTTTGTCTCATTCACTTTTGCCCACAAGTAAAGCTACTTGGCGGCAAAAGTGAATGCAGCAAGCATTCAGCAGCTGTAAGCAGTATTTAAGTTTGAAGAACAAGTAATGGGAATGAAATTACAATGTAATGAGTTACGAAATTTTAGTTCTGAGGAACGGGAATGCATAAGGGGTACGAGAGAACAAGATGTCCATGACGCTATTCTTCTATAGGCGCCGGTTTCCATTCGATTGGCCGTCAGCTTTTTTGCTCCAATTAATTTTAAAATGTTGAGAACGAAAATGCTACTGTAGATTGCGATACCGGGGTAATTATATTACAATGTATCAGTCAATATCTGATAATAGAAGTTATGGTAGCCACATGTTTTGGATTTTAAGTCTTGAGATATTCTTGTTTTTCTATAGCCACCTGGAGTATATATTGAAACTTTTGTATTGGCATTTTTTATATTTCATTATTCTCTCTAGCATCATAAGCTACCAATTGACCAACTGTATGCTTTATTTTTAAATTTATTTACGACATCCGCATCCATTTATAGTTTTTATAGTTATTTGATTTACAAAAAATGGGATATTTCATTAATTTATAATTCTCCTTAAATAATGTTGAGATGAAATTTAATGGACACGAAATCTTTCTTGACTCATTACGTGCGGGTACTGATTTATATATTACTGTAACTTAACATGCATTTCATTTTACTAATAAATTATATTATTATTAATATAATTAAATAATTTAGTGATAATTTTTATATGCTTTAGCATATAAAAATTATCACTATTCTGTTATATAATATATTACTGTAACTTAACATGCATTTCATTTTACTAATAAATCATGTAATTTATGAACAAGAATATGCCTATTGAACTAGCGGTGGCCTGTAGGTATGTGGAGTAGAATATATAACTTCTTGAAGAGGGATAATAAGCGTTTCAAAAAAAAGTCCGCAAACGTAGGTTGCCGAGGAAGGAAGTTGAGGGAATTGTACACTGAAGAAAAAATCTTATACATTGCCTTAATTCAATATTTTTACTGATTCCATAGTTTCAAATCTCGTATTACCTTGTACTGTGATGAAAATACTCTTCAAAAACTTGTATCTCTAAGAGGATCCTTACATTGGCATCGGTTGACATTTTAGCTGCTGTTCCAGGTCCAGCATTTACGTATATGGAAGATAGGTGAGACGACGTCTACGAGTATTCTTTTAATATCTGATTAATAAACTAGACTGTACCAATGGAAGACAGTGCAAATTTTTCATACTTTTTTAATTTCATATAATCACCTGATTTGTCGTGATCTTGTGGATAACTATCAAGGCTTACATTAACTAGATTACAAACCATTGTTAATCCGAAAAAAGTATGTAAAGATCGAACCATTGTTTTTCGGTCTAAAATATAAATAGTCTCTAACTACCCCATCTGGGATAATAGTCACGAGGATGTACAATTATTTACCAACTTATTATTTATATATGAATATTAATATTAAAAAAATATACTTAATTCACTAGCTAAAGTTTAGTTGTAGGAAATTTAGGTATTTGTTATAAACCATTTACACACTCATTAAAATGATCAATCAGTGTCATCTAATCACATATCAATTTGTATTTAAACATATAAAAAGTATTGTAATCTTCATTAAATACGGTGAAAGCATCCGACACTTGGTCGTAATCCGTTTCCTCGTTCTAGGTTACCACATTGTTCT